CTTATTCTTGTATGGGGTTTTCTTTGAGATCAATGAGCCTGTTGTTAGCATCTTTGCCATTTTTCTCAAATTTATAAAAAGCTGTTAGAATGTTAATATTTTACACATATATACATACACATACATATTTAAAAATACTAGTAATGACGATGCCTAACACAGTTTCCTTCCTAAATAAGTTCTTCTGTATATGACCCCATTTCTATCATGCCTTCATTGAATTGACATATTTGTTTTCCCTTCAGTAGATCCTGTGTTTGTTTTTTTTTAATCCTGTGGTTTTCTACCCCAATATTGATCATTTATTTTATGTTTTGAATCTACATGATGAATATTGTCTCTCCTTCAAGACTTACAATGTCTGTTCCTCTAAAATCAGTCCTTAGGCTACTGTTAGGTAAATAGTTTCTCTTCACTGTGTTCACAGAAGACACTTAAAACACATTGTCATATGATCTTTTTTTCTTGTAACAAATTAAATGATTGATACAGAAGAGACTACAGTTTATCTTTCACAGTCATTGCCAAATATACAAAGTTTGTAGACTTAAGATGTTTCACAAATACTTTTGTATTTACTTGAATTTGAAGCTTCCAGTGTAAAAAAAAGTAATTGCGGTATCAAAGATAAGAGAACTGAGTTAGAGGACAAGCTATGTGTTGACGTATATTGGTTAAGTTTAACACATATATTGGTTAAAAGTAAATGCATAGAGAAAGATATGCCAAGCTGATATTAATGAAAATAAAGCTGGAATGGCTATGTTCATTTCATCATATATTTAAGAGCAAAGAATATTACCACAGAGAGGATCTTTTTATAATAATCAGTTCCTCAAGAGAACATAACTGTACTAAGTTTGTCTGCATTTAATGAAGAGTTTCATAGTACATGAAGCAAAAACTGGCAGAAGTGAAAAGAGAAATGCATGAATTTATTTTCGAGTTGGAGATCTGAATACCCCTCCCATAATAATTGGTAGAATAAGCTTACAAAAGCTCAAAGATTTAGAAGACTTGAATAGCAGCATAATCAACTACCTTGTCCTGACCCTAACAGAACTCACCATCACACAGTAGTAGAACCAGTGATCTTTTCAAGGGCTCACAGAATATGTAACCATGTCTGGGTCATTCTGAAGGCAAGACTGGTTTAACATTCAAAGTCAGTGCATATAATGACCCTCATCAACAGTGACATAGAATCATCTCAATGTGTTAAAAAGTGCTTTATCAAATTTAAAGTTTTTTTTTTATCACACAAGCACTTGTAATAAAACTAGAGCTACTTTTATATTTAATGTTGACTTCTAAATACTTGTGCCTTATGATCAGGAATAAGGACTGCTTCTCTCTTCTGGTCCTGTACCACACTATATGACTTAGCCAGTGTTAAAAGCAAGAAAAATAAATAAAAGTGATCTAGACTAGAATGGAAAAAGTAAAATTGCTTTTATTTTCAAATGATATGATCATCTATATAGAAAAATCCCCCAAACGTACAAAATTTTCACTAGAATTTCTAAGTCATGGTACAAATGCCAATATTTAGAAATATGAAAAATTGAAATGTTTTTGAATGATAATTTACAATAATATCAAAATATGAAATTGTTAGGAGTAAATCAACAAAACTAATACACACTGTTTATGGAAAAATCACAGAACAATGCTGAAAGAAATTTAAGAAGACTTAAAGCAATAGATTTACAATATTTATTAACCAAAATATTAATATTTCAACTCTTATTTGACCACTTTACTCAGTATAATCTTAATTAAAAATCTCAGTAGGTTTTCATTTATCATAGAAAAACTTATTTTAAAATTTAGGTGAAAGTGCTGATGGCCTACATTAGCTAAGTGTTTTCAGAGGGAACAATTTGAAGCCATATCTGAGTTTAAAACTTAGTCTAAAGCTGTACTACCTGAGAAAATATGGTATTAGCAGAGAGACATATATCGATGCCACAGATTCTCAAACAACTCTCACTCTGTGTTAGAATGGACAGGGTCGAATGTCCCCTGTGGGTTTCTGAGACTGTAACTCTCTATGAGAGTGGAAACCTTATCTTTCTCCTGTGGAGCAGCTGGTGGTTTCCAACTCCTGACCTTGCCCTTAGCAGCCCAGTATGTAACCACTATGCTACCTTGCAACAGAGTAGTAGGATCAAAATTATATCTGTAAATGATGGATTTTTGACAAAGGTGCCAAGACGATTAAACCAGGAAGGGACAATCTTTTCAACAAATGGTGCTGAATTGATTTTATATCCATATGCCAAACAATGAACCCATAGCCCTTTGCTTTATACCATATAAATAAACTGGAAATGATCATAGACCTAAAAATAAGCACTAGAACTCTAAAATGTTTCTAAGAAAATATAGTAGAAAAATTATAGTGAGTTCAGATAGGCATATTTCTTTAATAGGATCAAAGTATGAATTATAATAATTAAAAATGGATAATTTTAACTGCATAAACATTAAAATTCTGCTTTTCAAAAGAAATTGAGAAAATGAAAAGGCAAGCAAAAGACAGGTAGAACATATTTGTATGTCATACAGTGGCTATTTATCAACAGTTCTTATAATTCAGGAATGACACAAACAACCCAAAAAACCAACGTATTTCAACAAACACTTCATTCACCAAAGAAGAACCTACTGAGATTTTTAATTAAGATTATACTGAGTAAAGTGGTCAAATAAGAGTTGAAATCTTAATATTGTGGTTAATAACAAAATAATAATAATAACAAAAAAAATAATAAGGTCTGTCTTGGAGATCTTTTACATAATGGGAATGGACCATTATAATTTGTAAGATTTCCATTGATTGATTTTTCAGAAGTAGTTCTCCAGGCTGTTCTTCCTAGTCTTAGTCTGGAAGCTCAGTGTCACAGCAACAGAAAGCCCCCACCAACATTGTCTCTCCTTCACGGAAGACAAGAGTTTGACTACTGAATAACCACCCCTCAGAGTTGGTGTACAGGTCTACATTGGTGCTTTGGCAAAGTACTACAAACTTGGAATCTATTCTCTTAGAATTTTTTAGTGGAGGGGTAGGCATGAGGGGGGTCACAAATGAACCCATTGCAGATGATAAATAAGCACATGAAAATGTTTTCATTTGTTATTTGGAAAATGTTAATTAAATTAAGCATAATCCCCTATGATGGGAAGGATGTAGAGCAACTGGACTCATGTTGCTGGTGGGAATGGAAAATGTTACGGGCACTTTAGAAAGCAGATTGGCAGGCTATTATGAGGTTAAACATGTATTTACCATGAGATTCAGCCATTCCATTCCCAGGTACGAAATGAAGAATAAGGAGAAAAAAGAGAGAAAGAAATGACAGTGTGTCTACACACTTGTTCATGACTATTCAGAGCAGCATTATTCATGACAGCCATAAATTGGAATCAGCCTAGATATCCATCAACTAGTCAATAGACAAATAATTTGTGGTATACACATAATTTGGAATCCTAGTCATCAGTAAAAAGAAACAGACTAATACTGTATAAACAGCAGTGTTGGATCTCGGAAGTCTTACGGTAAGAATATGTTATGAGTTGTAGCAAAGGCCCTCCTAGAATGATAGAAAGTTGGGTCAGTTGTGCCAGAAGGACGGAGGAGGAATTGGTTTCAGTCATGAGGCAACTTTAGGGGGTGATTGATATATTCTGTATTATGTCTTTGGTGATAGTTATGTGCTTTTCCATTTGTCAGTACTTATTGAATAAGACAGTTCAAATTTGCTAATTTTATTCCTTATAAATTTTGCCTTGGTAAAGCTGAATGAGAAAAATAGTTTAAAACATTAAAAAAAGTATTATCAAGCTTTCTTGGAGTCATGAAAAGTTTGAATAGAATAACTGAGTTTATTCTTTTTAGGACTTGTACAGACAAGAGTCTGTAAGTCTTTTTCGAAGTCTTATGTGTGAGAAAAAGAATAAACAATGACCAGCAATAAAAGGATAGGTAACTAGTTTCATTCATTGGTTGAAGATGACAAAAATTATATTGAGAAAGGAAATAGTAATTTTGCTTAATAAAAAGTTATGATAAATCAATTAGATGTTTAGACATGTAGCTATTCATTATTATTGTCATGTTAACTCTCTTTAGAAATATAAGCCTGGTCGATGTGATGATATTTTGAAATGGAAGCCTCCCAGTCTGAATTCTGTGGATTTTCGCCTAAAGATAACAAGAATGGGAGGAGAAGGGTAAGTTGTAGCATAAATAATTCTGTTTAGTGTTGGCTTCATTGTTTACAGCAGCGGTTCTCAACCTGTGGGTCACGGCCACTTTGGGGTCAAACTACCCTTTCACAGGGGTTGCCCGACTCATAACAGTAGCAAAATTACAGTTAAGAAGTGGCAATGAAAATAATTTTATGGTTGGGGGTGGGGAGGGGTCACCACAACCTGAGGAACTGTATGCAAGGGTCGTGGCATGAGGAAGATTGAGAACCACTGGTTTAAAGGGTATGACTTTATAGATATTACAGGAGCCCTGGTAGCCCAGTGATGTAGCTTGCAGCTGCTAGCCTAAAGGTCAGTGGTTCAAAGTTGTGATATTTGGCTTCTGTAATGGGAGTAGCGATACAGTGAGTGTGGGGAGAAGGTGCGGGGGGGGGGAGACCAATCTCAGAAGGATCATGTGAAGCACCTCTTCCCCAGAGGGACAAACAACACAAACGTGGGTGAAGGAAGACAGTGATGGTGTAAGATATGAAAATAATAATTTATAATGTATCAAAGGGTCATGAGGGTGGGAAGGTAGGGGAGGGAGGAAAAAGGGGAGCTGATACCAAGGCTAAAGGAGAAAGAAAATGTTTTGAAAATGATGATGGCAACATATGTACAAATGTGCTTGATACGATTGATGTATGGATTGTTAAAAGAGCTCTAAGAGACCCAAATAAAATGATTTATTGAAGAAAAAAAGAAAAGAAAAGGATTACCCACTTCCCATGAGAAATTCTGGCTCAGCAACTGTAGTTGTCAGAGACCACATTTTTATAGGAGCAGACTCCTCTTTGTCCCGCGGAGCAGCTGGTTGGGTTGAATTTTTGAACTGCTCACCTTGCTGTGAATCCCAGTGCCTACCCCACAGCACCACCATGAATTAATTCTTCTAGCAACAACCTCAGGAAGCTTATAGGACAGTTTGATTCTGCCTTTTAGGGTTCCTGTGAATCAGAATTGACTCAATGGCATTGGGGTTAGTTTGTTTTTTTAAACACGCTATCTAATTATCATAGATTTTTCCCGTGACCCGTAACCGTTCACATTGAAACACTATAATTTTTGCCTTAAAAATCCCCTTTTACAGTAAAAAGAATACTTTATTAAATTGTAAAAGTGAGAGTTGATTTTACTTAAAAATTAGCCTGTCAAATGACTTGTTCGTATAAGCACGATCACTGGTACTATAGTTAAATGTATTGAAATGAGTATTTTTTACTTTGAAGGCTGTTGCTTTATTTCCATTTGAAGAGCAAAAATTTATCTATACTTGATTATAGTTTAATTGTTGCATTTTATTAAAAATTTTCATGTTTAGTAAGTACTAATTTTTTTATTTACTGGTCAATTTTTGCCTTTACTAATTACTCATTTGATGAAAAGATAGTATAATATTAATATTTTCATTGTTTTCCCAAACATTTTTTTCACCTTTTTAAGACACATTTTAAGGCATTTTATGCAAGTAGATACATTGCAAAAAACATAAATGCTCCAAGGAAATTGTAACGAGAACTCAGTGAAACCAAGTAAGAGCACACTAGCGGAGAACCTCGAGCTCACTAGTGTGTGTCATGAAAGTCTCGCGCTTGCCAAAGGCGAGCCGCAAATAAGCTTTTCTTTGGGAGCTAATGGAGCAAAGGGTATATAATCAGCCTTGTGGGCCATACTCCATGAGATTGTCTTCACTATGAATTTTCATAGTGAAGGTAACATGCAATGTGGTTACATTCTAAGTAATAGGTGCTTTTAATAAAGTGGTATAGATGTCAGTTTTTAAAAATTGGGAGTTTAGCATTTTATATCCTTACATAAAGCCTTATGACTTAATGGCCCAGTATAATTTAGTGGGAACAATTATTTGAGTACCCTAAATAGTGTTGCATAAGTATTTATAGATAATCTACTTATTTATTTACTCATATGTATACATACGTGCGTGCACACATATTTTTCCAATTTTCAAAAAATATTATTTCTCCAGATAAATATTGGTAAGCATTAAATTCAAAGTGATAAAGTATCTGGTATACAGATATTCTGGGTTGCCACAATATACATTAATAAATATGCTAAAACAATGGAGATACCAGTTCTGGTGGTTCTGTGCTGTTGTTTTGTTTTAAAAGACAAAGATGACTAAGTCTGTGGAAATATAATACATCAAAGAGGAAGTGCATTTTATTAAATTTCTTTATTACTAAATCTTTTTTGTCTGATGCTGTAGTTATTCTAGTTACTGTTATAGTATGATCCTCATGTCTTCTACCAATTTGTTTTTTTATTTTTGAAAAATTAGTTTGTTGTGCTTTGTACAGGTAATAACAATGATAATAAAAGCTTCATGAAGTCAAAAAGAATGCCCATTTCTCTAAGTAGCAGAAAAGGTTAATCTTTATATTTTTGTGTGTAATTTTCCATCGCAATTAATACATGTTTCTGTTAGTCGTTACTGAACCAGTTCCGACTCATGATCTCACATGTGCAGAGAACTCCAAGGGTTTCCCAGCTTGTGACCTTTCAGAAATTATTCACCAGGCCTGTCTTCCCAAGGTGCCTCTGTGTGGGTTCAAACTGTCAGTCTTTGGGCTAGGAGTTCAGTGTATAGCTATTTTGTACCACTTGGCACTCCTGCAGTTACATAAAAGAAAATGCAATTTAATTTAGAAGATTGTCACCCAAGTTTTGCTTTTGTTTTTACTATGTTTCAATGTATTTTGTTCTTTTAAACTTTTATCTATTTAAATATCTTTAAAAAGGTGAATTCCTTTTGATTCTTGTATCTTTAAAGTATTCTAAAATGTCAGCATTTAATGTAATTTTTACACAGGTAGGTCTTTATTTATGCAAGATGAGCATCCATTTTTAAAAATAGAGTCCTTAATATGAAGTATAACTTGGTAACTACTACATGAAATGTCTTATTCAGTTGTTTAGTATGCTTTTTAATACTAAAAATGATGCGTACTGTAGCAAAACTCATCACCACTGAGTTATTCTGACTCATAGCAGCCCTATAGCAGTTTTTAGTAAATCCAAAAGTGGCTAATAATAGTAAGTCAGTATGTTAGCGAAGCATTATAAGAACAAATTCATGTAATCTATTGAATGAAGAGTAGTCTGTTTCAAAAGCACGGAACTCATAGAATGTGACCTCCAATGAGCTCGGAGTTTTTATATTAATTACATTAAAATATTATATTAAAATACCATTTACTTCCATACTTACAAATATTTCTACAAACTTTTGAATGAAATGACTACCTTGAAAGATATCTTGTATCTATTAATCCTAGAAAAAATGTTAGTCATTGTATGGAGTCTTTTACCTTTCAACACAGGTTTTGAGTCATGTTTCATTGCTGTAATAAAGTAGTTATCATACAGATGTATTAGATAGAAATTTTCATACATGTTAAAAAGTCTATTAGGGTAAGTAAAAAAGTATTGCTACTGTTATTCCAGTCCATACATGCACTGGTTTATTCCAAGCAAAATGTATTTAAGTGCATGGCAGGGATATACAAATAAAACAAGTTTATAAAGTGGCTTTAAAACCAAGTGACACAAACTTAATAATAGATGTCCACTTTGTTGTTTAGCATCTGTACATTTCTATACATATTTGAACTGCTATAAAAAACAAACCCATTATTGTTCAGTTAACAAGATGCAAGTATTCTCTCACTCAGTGAGAGACATAAAATGAGGAGACAAAATGAGGAGACGTAAAATCCCAATAATAATTTGTTCATTTCTGAGAGACAGTTTATGTTAACTGTTTCCTGGTGCTGTGCACTACAAGGTCAGTGATTCAGAGCCACCCACCAGTGGCTTCTCAGGACACAGATGAGGCTGTCTACTCCTTTTGTAAAGATTTAAAGTCTCAACAACCGAAAGGGACAGTTCTACTCTGTCCTTTGGCGCTGCTGTGAGTCAGAATGGACTAGATTGCAGTGAGATTCCTGGGCAGTGTTGTCTGCTTTTCAAAATCAGTTTCAATTCCATCTGAATATTTTATTACCTGATAACTAAACTGTCACATTGGTCCACATCAAAAATCCCACTACTGGTTTCAAGACCACAAATGGCAACGTTTTTCTTCCACTGTCTATTTTTTCCCTTTTGTTTTCTGCTGGGACCTTAGACCTTTATGCCAATTTTTTTTTGAGTTCTCAGTAATCTTACTCATTTTGGTTCTATAATTTTCCATTAACATTTACCATTGGACATGGAAATACTAAGGGTCACCCCAAAGCTATACTACTTGGTTCTGGAATTAGCCCTTCATATTGGATAGTGTAGCAGGAGCCCACATTTTCTTTGGTCACAGGATTAGTTCTTTAGCTAGTAGAGCAATTCTTTTATTGCCTGTTGTTGCCCAAGATAGAGATGTGTGTAATCAACCTACCCACAGGCAAAACTAGGTAATCCCCTGATACTGCCTGTTACATCCGGAACATAGAATGGTCATTTGGCAATTTTAATTTATGGTTCCGTGGAACCATTCTTGTTTCCTGTGATTTCTACTTTGTGAATGAGAATCTCCATCCCTTTTGGCACAAAGTTGAGGGATTGGAAGCAAAAATGTTGATACTGGATTATTAGTTGGGTTAAGAAGAGCCACTCCCATTTCCATCTTTTGATTTCTCAATCCGTGTACAAGGGGACTTCAAAAATTTCATAGAAAAAAATGAATTAAAGATAAATAGATAAATAAAAATTTTCCACAAAATTTTGAAGCCCCTTCATGTGTTGACAAAGGAAAATTTGTATTGTAAATTTGCTTGCAAAATCAAAGCATCTGACCAATTTATGAACTATCAAGGGCTCATGAGGGAGGGGGGAGCAGGGAGCAGGGAGGGAGGGGAAAAATGAGGACCTAATGTCGGGGGTTTGAGTGGAGAGAAAATGTTTTGAGAATGATGTACAAATGCGCTTTACACAATTGATGTGTGTATGGATTGGCTAACAGT